AGTCTATCTTCCAGGATCTTTAATATTAAACTAAACACTTTTAAAACACTAAATCGATGGTATCTTACGCCTGCACGCTTAAACAAGATCACTCCAAACCATACACAAAACTGCTGGAAAGGCTGTAGCCAAATAGGCGATTTCCTGCACTGTTGGTGGACCGGTCCACGCATTCAAACATTCTGGTCCCAAATCCTGGCACAAATTGCTACCATCATAGGTTACGACTTACCTGTACTCCCTGAGACGGTTCTGCTGGATGTACTCCCGGAAACCTGTGAAAGGAAAACACAAAAGATATTAATTTAAACTCTACTCGCAATAGCTAGAATAACCATCGCACAGAAATGGAAAGAAAAAACCATCCCACACATATCCAGCTGGCAAAACAAATTATGGGAACACTTTATCTATGGAAAAATGACCTGCCAACAAACACAAGGGAATGCTAAAATATTTCAGGCAGTTTGGTTCCCAGTGGTCCAATATCTTGCAGAAGGTGAAATTATCCCAAGAAATGAGCACCTCAAAAACTTACTGTATTTTTGAAATAGATTATACACTTATGATATTGAAACTGACAGAAGGTATGATTCTGTTGTAAATTATGTTACTTCCACAGTAATTATGTAGATCATCATAGCATTATGCTTTCTTGGTATTAGACGTGTTGTTATATTTTGTTATTTTGTGTGAAAAATAAAAAAAATTGAATTGGAAAAAAAAGAAATTTGAGTGTGTACACACAGAGTATTTGTAGAAGAAACTATACCACTTTTAGATTGTGGACAATGATCTCCAAATGGTGGATCTCCAGGAACTTCTTAGCTGGGTTTCTAAGCCTCTGGTTGATGGATAGGCGCAATGGTGTACAAGGCTGAAAGAGAAGAGCTGATAGCCATAGAAATGTGAAGTTGAGGAACTGTGGCAGAGGTCTGCTTTAAATAGTTTAATAGACACTGAAGTATTAATGAAAATATTTGTGGTAATGACAGTAAAATTACTTTTATGAGAGGCAGATTTCATACAACAAAGCTTAAGGGAAACCTTTAATTCAAAGTATTTTGAGTGATGATTAAGTTTGCATGAGAGTGTTCACTTTAATTCTTTATGGAGAGCCAGGTTGGTGTAGTGGTTAAGTGCGAGGACTCTAATCTGGGAGAACCGGGTTTGATTCCCCACTCCTCCACTTGCACCTGCTGGATGACCTTGGGCAAGCCGTAGTTCTGACAAGAGCTATTCTTGAAAAAGAGCAGTTTCTGTCAAGAGCTCTCTCAGCCCCACCTACCTCACAGGCAGTGTTCTCTCTAAGCTGAGTTAGTGTGAGCTAGCTCACAGTTTTTAGCCTCTGGCTCACACATTTTTGTCTTTGCTCAGGAAGGATGGCTACAGAGCAAACTAGTTGATGCAGTAGCCAAATCGCTCGCTCACAACTTTAATGCCAGTAGCTCACAAAG